TTTTTTTCCTTCACAGATGCTGTCAGACCTGCTGAGCTTCTCCAGCAACTTTGTTTTTGTTCTCCAAGTGCTCTTCATTGATCTTCCCGGTTATTAGCACGTCATCCAGATAAATGGCAACCTAGGCAGCCCTTGTAAAATGTTCTCCATGGTCTGCTGGAAAAAGGTGTAAGCTGATGACACCCCAAATGGCAGTCTTGTATATTGTTATAAACCCTTATGGGTGTTAATTGTGGCGTATTTCTGGGACTCCTAATCCAGTCGCAATTGCAGGTAGGCATGGCTCATGTCCAGCTTCATAAAGGACAGCATCTCCCACCAAGTTTGCATACAGGTCCTCTATGCGAGGGACTGGGTATTTATCCAGCTGCGAGAAGCGATTTACCGTTTGCTTAAAATCCCCACAAAGGCGAACTGAGCTCTCACAGGCTTCACAGTCGGTACGATTGGTGCTGCCATTCTGCAAACTGCTTTGGTTTGATGATTTTTTCGCTCTCTAACCTCCTGATTTCCATGACTACATTTGCCCACCAAGGCAAATGGCACAGGGCAGCCCTTGCAAAATCTTGGAATTGCTTCCTGGTTAACATGTAAAGTGGCTGTGGCCCCTTTGATGGTCCCAAGCCGTTCATGAAAAACTCCTGGGTATTTCACTACGACTTCGCTGAAGCAGCCATTTTCTAATCAAAAAATGTTAAGCCAATCCAGGTGAATCTTTTTCAACCAATTCTGCCCCAATAGACTTGGGCCCGAAACTCTTACTGCCATCAGTGGTTACTGCACCAATTGCTTCTCAAAGAAGACCGGAACCGAAGTCGTAGCCTTAACTTGCAACAGTTCCCCAGTGTATGCTCTCAATCTGACTGAGGTCTTGCGTAAACTTAAGAGTTGGAGACCCAAGCGAATATTGTTAAAGAGAGATTCTGCAACCACAGATACAGCTGCACTGGTAACAACCATCATGGGAACGGTGTGACCATTTAACCAAACATTAATTTTAATCGGTTCCAATTTGGATGTCCCTAAGCGATTTAATTGTTCCAACCTACATATTAGGGGACTTTTCAGGAAGGGCACTCTCCTGGGCACCAGCCCACATGTTTTCTTACTCAAGTCAGGCCTTATAGGACTCCTTTGCTGTCTCGAGTCCACATACTTGCAGTAACTAAAATGGCTTGCCGGCCCAGATCCTGAAGAACTTTTTGGCCACTTGGCCGATGCTCGAATTTGTTGTGGGGTTCTACTGTGGGCTGGCCTAGGGTCCCTCTGCTCAGGATATGCCCTGCGTGAGACTCTGCGAATGCCTACACTCAACCAGTGTTCCTCAATTTGGACAGGTGAGGGTGTCCACTTCCATTGGGATAACCTGTAGTTCCCATGCTCCACTTGCTGCATTTTCTAAAGACAACTCCAGTTGTAGTGCCTGTTTGGAGTCCAGTTGGGCTTCAGCCAGTCAGCATTTCTGCATGGTTACGTCATTAATCCCACATACCAAATGGTCTCTCAGCATCTCATTCAGGGTTAATCTAAATCACATGTCTCTGCCAGTTGTCCTAACCTCGTAAAAAATCCTGATACGGATTCCCCCCGTTATCTAACAGCCAAATAAAACCAATATCGTCTCAGGATTCGAGAAGATTTGGGGTCGTAATATTCCTTAACTAACTCTGTCGACTCATGGAAAGTTTTAGCGTCTGGTGAACCTGGGAAAGTTAAGCCTCTTATAACCGAAAATGCTGCAGGTCTGCAATCAGTCAGAAGGTTTACCCATTGTTTTTCATCTGCCCCAATGTCATTAGCCTGGAAAAAATATCGCTCTCTTTCCACATACTGGACCCAGTCTTCGATGGCAGGATCAAACGAGTCAAGCTTTGCAAATAAAGGCATGATGCCAGAAAGGCTTACCCCAAACTCCAAGATGACTGTTGTGAGCGAATGTTCTTCAACACATACTGTCGCCACTGAAATAACTGCACAGATGCTGGTATCCCATCACCAAGTCACCCTTTATTTACTTGTGTACAGTACACTGGCTGTAGCCAGTCAGCTCGGAGTCTGAGCCCGAACTGAGGACATTCTGAATCTCCTTTTATATTATTTTTATTTCTTATAACCCCTAGACTACTGCCATACAGCAGTAGTGCATATTCTTCCCCACAGCACCGGTGTTGTGTGTATATAAGTGCAGGAGGCAGTAAAAACACAAAGTGAAACACAATTTTATTAGACATTTCCACCACCAGGAAAAACACCCAGGCAGTCGTGAACCAGTAACGAGCAAAGCTCAAAACAAGCAATGGTTACATGAAAAAAAAGTGAAGGGGAGGGTACGGATCAAATCAAAATAGAGTTGGAGGGGGGCTGTTTACATTGCTCAGCCAGGGCTTCCTGATTAACCCAGGTTAACAACCTCAACCAAGGCCCTCTTAGTCAACCAGATCCACCTGGTTCGAATCACTACATTAGCAATCACTTCAACAGTTATCTCACCAGGTAGCTTGACTAGTCATTTAACTTAAGTAACTTGATATTTTTGGAAATGCTGTTTTGACCCACTACTAAAAAAGTTTATGAACCTGAAAAAATGTCACCCTTCACAGAACTGAAAAGTAGAAATCCATTTACTTCTACTTTAGAACCTAAGTTTCTGAAGAACAATAGTATATTATGCACCGTCACCACAATTCACTATACAACTATGATCTGAAAAGGATGAAAAAGCATGAACTCAGGAAACATGTAAGAGGAACAATGTTTCTAAGCCATTTTGACAACTTCAAGAAGGATTTAATAAATCAAACTTAGGAGATTACTTTATAAATACGTATCGCAAAAACTGCAATTTGAAGAGCTCCTTGCATGTATTCCAAAATTATTTTATGGTTATTATGTAATGTTGAGTACAACTGGTATCTTACCTTGTATAGCTTTATATCGCACTTCAATTGTACATCACCTTATTCCATTTATACTCATGATTGGTTCATTTTGCCAGCTTCTTCAAGCTTTCGTTACTCTTTCTCTCAAAAATCAATGTGATGAACCATAGGTGCAGTGTGAGATTAGTGTCAGAAAACTGTTCATTCAATATTTATTATTTGACTCAAAGAAAATTAATTTTATCCACTGGCAAAGAAACATTTGAAGCAGTTAACCCAAGATGTTTTACTACAATTTCAGTGCTCACAATATTAAGGAAAGGTAAAATAAGGAGTTTGGGAGACCACCCAAAGTATAGGATTGCCAGCACTCTAAGTCATAGAAATACTACCTAGGTTGCAATTACTATACCCACACATTCCAATACAATATTGACTCATACCTGGATATAACCCAGGGAAAATTGCACCTGGAACTCCAGCACCGGGAACTCCAACACCGGGCACTCCAGCACCTAGAAAGTATAAAATACATAAACTTAAAAATCACGTTTTCCTGAATTTTGAATACTCTTTAAAATGTGTTGTTGCTTCCCAAATATATGCCTATCTTTCCTGGAATTCCTCTTCCACAATACCAATAGACTCTTATCAAAGTCATATGTTGCGAAGGTGGGTACAGCACTTGTGGATTGGGAGGCAGGAAGTTAGAATTTGGTGTTTGTAAAATGCTGGGGAGGGGGAAGCATTGTGTGGTCCCTTTAAAAATGATGTACTTTTTCTATGCTTAGAGGTTTAAACAAAACACTTGTGAGCAGCTTGGAAGTTTGAAAGTACATGGCGAGCACCTGAATTGAAACATTTGTATCAAAAGGCCATACAGTTAGCAGGCCAAGCAGTTGCCAAGACAACAAGTTTTGAATTTAACCAATCAATTTAAAACAGGCACTTACATACCAAAAACCAATTAAATTTTAATCTAATGGTTTTGCCAATATAGGACCAATCCTAGTCTAAGAAATTGATATGTCATCAAAGTTATAAAAAGAAGAGGGTGTTTGGACAAAGACAGGAGAACCAACTGCTATCTGCCAGAGTTAACAGCTCTCAAGAGAAAATTGCTGGCTCTCACAGACTACAATAAGTCTTATTGGAAAGCACCATCTAAATATCAAAGGTACTAACAGCACAATTTGTTAATATTTCTGACAAAAGAATTCACAGAGAAGGCATTCCTGATAGAATAATCGACGGAGAAGACACAGACGGAAGAAGTAACCTGGCTGTAATTTTGACAGACTAAATTCTATTGTTTTGTTATACAAGTGGGACTTGTATTTATTAGAACAACATACTATTAGAATCATGTGTTATTCGGCAATAGTTAATAGTTAGAAGAGATTTGTTCAGTTTGTTAATAGTTTAGTTAATTTATTCACTGTTAGCGTTAAATAAATAAATTGTTACTTGTTACTGTAAAGTGAGTGTCAGGGATTTATTTGATTTAAACACCAAAAGTTGCTGAAAGACAGGTTACACCCCTCTTCACACTCCTTTTAACAGATTATAGGGCGAGGTGCTCCTCTTTGGGTGTTTCGGTTTTGATCCTCAGAGGGGGGAAGTCAACCTCCACTTTATAACACATACATGACATCCCACGAGGTCATGACAAAAGTAAATTATCCCTCTGTTGTTCTCTATCTTTCTGTGGTATTTGACTTAGTTGACCACGCTATCCTCCTTCAAAGCCTTTCCACCATGTTCAATTGGAGAAGACTACATTATTCTGGTTTTGTTCTTACTGGGGAATCACCTGCAATGGCTTCCCTTTCCACCTCTTCATAATAACCTTTGATTTCATGGAAATATCTAACTTTAGTCCCCTGTTATTTCACATCCTCATGATGCTCCTTGGCAACATAATCCAAAAACTAAGTCATCAGACTGAATTTCCATACGTATGCTGACAATGCTCAGAACTCTTATCACCATCTCTATCAATGTCACCACCATCTCAAAATTGTCAGGAGGCATCTAATATTGGATGAACAGAAATGTCCTCCTACCACAATTGTCATTCTCAAGCCACCAACTCCATCCCTGCTACAAAGCAACTTTTTGAAGCTGAACTAGGCTGTTTTAAATTTAAATGTTATAATTAGGCTCACACTGAGCTTCCTAGCATATAGCCATGCTGCTTACCTTTCATCCACACAAGAATCTAATTTTGTCTCCTCCTTAGCTTTTCTGTTGCTGAACCACTTATTCATGTTTTCACTAATCCAAGTACTGTCTATTTGACACTCTTCTGGCTTATCTCCCTCAGCTCATGACACATAGAATTGAGGTAATCACAAACTCTTATGCCAGTGTTCTAACTTGTGCCAAGTCCTTTCATCCATCACTGCCCTTTTCGCAGCTCTAAACTGGCTCCTAGTTAAGCAACGCCTTGATTTTAAATTCTTTTTATATATTATATTCTTCTTTTCAAATGCCTCCATGGACTTGCAATCTTTCTATCGCTGTAACCTTCTTTAGTCTTAAAACTCTGAAATATTTCAGTTTCTCAAATTATGTACTATTCAGCATCTTCAATTTTAAATCACTCCACTACATGTGGCCTTACCTGTGGCAAAGGTGTTGAGCTCTGGAATTACTTTGTTAAGCCACCCTGCTCTGTTCCTTAACTTCTTGCGGTAGGGTTAGGGTTAGGCTTAAAACCTATCCTGTTCACCAAAAATTTGGGCATCTTTCCTACCCCTTGTGTGACTTGGGATCAAATTTTGTTTTATAATGATCTAGTGCAGCACTTCATGAAGTCAAAGGTGCTATATCAATACAGTTTGATTTTGCTGCTGTTACCTGTAGCTAAAATAGAAACATATTTTCTCCTGCCAGTATTGCATTGCAATGCATAATTGCAAATCCTTATATATGGCAACTGAGAAGAACCAGGGAAATAGTAAAACTGTCTAGCCTTTGCTGGACATATTACTAGAATATGACTGGCATTGAAAGATACTGCAATGCAAACAGGCTAATCAGTTTCGAAATTGAACTTTGGTAACAGTAGAATATATCACAATTTCACCTTCACAGAACAGGGATCAGCGCTGAGTCCACTTTTGTTTGTCATTTAGATAAATGATTTAGATGAGAATACGGAAAGCATTGGTTAGTAAGTGTGCAGATGACACCAAGATTGGTGGTACAGTGGACGGTGAAGAAGGTTATCTAAGATTACAAAGAGATATTGATCAATTGGGTTAATGGGCTGAAGAGTGCAGTTTAATTTGGATAAATGCAAGGCATTGCATTTTGGTGAAACAAACAAAGACAAGACTTATACAATTAAAAGTAGGCCTTTGGGCAGTGTTGTAGAACAGAAAGATCTAAAGGGTTCAGTTACATAATTCTTTGAAGTTTGCATCACAAAAAGATAGGATGGTTAAGAAGGTGTTTATGATGCTTGCCTTCATTGCTCAAATCTTTAAGCTTGGGAGTTGGGACGTTATGTTGAGGTTGTACAGAAATGTTGGTAAGACCTCTTCTGCAGTACTGTGTCCAGTTCTGCTCTCCCTTTCATAGGAAGGAGATTATTAAGCTCGAGAGGTTTCAGAAGAGATTTACCAGGATATTGCTGGGATTGGAGGGTTTGTGTTATAAGGAGAGGCTGGATAGGGTGAGACTTTTTCACCGGAGCTTAGGGGGTTGACAGATGACCTTATAGAGGTTTATAAAATAATGATGGGTATAGGTAAGATGAATGGCAGGTGTCCTTTCCCTAGAGTGGGGGATTTCAACATTAGGGGGCATATTCTTAAGGTGAGATGAGAAAGATTTAAAGACGACATGAGGAGCAACTTTTTTTACCGAGTGTGGTTCGTGTGTGGAATGAACTTCCAGAGGAAGTGGTGGATGCGGGTACAGTTACAGTGTTTAAGAGACATTTAGATGAACATATGAATGAGAAATGTTTTGAGGGATATGGGCCCAGCACAGGCAGGTGGGACTGGTTTAGTTCGGGATTATGGTCAGCATGAGTTGTTTGCACTCAAGGGTCTGTCTCCATGCGGTATGACTCTATGACTATAACAAGTTCAAAAGAAAACATGGGATGTACAGCAGAACAGACTGCTATTCTGAGAAATATGTCAGACGGAAGGTAGCATAGAGTTCAAAGAGAAAAAGGGAGAAGAAAACAAAAGTGTCCCATAAAGCAGATGACTCTTACCTAGAATTCCAGCTCCTGGTCCAGCCTGGTAAGGGTATGCTGCCCCTGGAACGGCACCAGGTAATCCTGGAATAAAGAAAATTTAGTTTAGTACCACGTACCTTTTACATAAGCAAAATAGAATTGCATGTGTATTAATACAAAGCCTTGAACTGCAAACCCCAAGATGAGTCGCATCCATTGAATCCAGCTGCTTTCTTATCATCTACATGTTGGAGTACTTGCAACTAGCACTGATGATAGTTTTTTTTTCTCACCGCCTGTGCAAAAGTGAAGTTACATATGCCACCTGAGGAGGTACTAGGTCAGATGACAAAAAACCCTGGGCAAATAGACTGGTTCTAAGTTCAAGTAAGTAGTTGAAGATTTGTTCACCTGTCAGTGGAGAGGTTAAAATTGGGAATGTACAAGAAACACGAATTGGAGGATTACTGAGATGTTGGAGACTTATAGGGCTGGAAGAAGTTACAGAGGTAGGGGCATACGGGACAGATTTAAAAACAAGGATGGAACACCATAGTCAGGATCCAATGTGGTTTTAGTAAGGGGGAGATTTGATGATTTGATGGAAGTTAGGATGCAGGCAACAGAGTTTTGGATAATTACAAGGTTGAGTCAGGAAAAAAGGAGTCAGTAAGGAGTCAAATCAGATGGCAACAAAATCATTGAGGATTTTTGCAGCACCCCAGTTGTGGTAGAAGAGTTGGTTAGCTTGTGTGGTTAAGAGGGTGGTGCTTAATGCTACCAATAGAGCAGCTTCAAGTCCTACAGTGGCCAAAACAGTTACAAAGAGTCTGGTTCTGCTTCAGATAGTAGCTAGAGAGAATAATAATATCACCGCCAAGTGTTTTCTTCTGCAGTATAAGCATTTGCAGTTTTGCAGCTTTTCCTTAGCCCTCAAATACCAAGCTAGGTTTGCTCTAATAACAGGATTGCATGGCAGTTTCGGTGGGACTGAACCAAGATTCTATAGAGAAAATTGATTTCCTCTGGTTATGTAAGATTTTATTTATTGTCTGTGCTGTTGTCATAAGCTGGTGATTTCAGTGATCTATCCAACAATTTTCCAAAATCGTTTTGTAAGGACAATTAGGGATTGGCAATATATATTTACTTTGCTAGCAACATCCTGATCCCTTGACTAAATTAAGACTGTACTATTTAAACATATTAGTTTATGGTGCTAATGTTTATGTCCTCTTCCTATTTTTTAAGCTATGCATTTAATTTTTTACTCTGTTTCCAATCCCAACGATTGCACAGATGAGGTAACAATCCTGAAATTAATACTCTTGAGGTTCTTCTTTTAATTTGGACCCTTTAGTCCTGAAAACTTGTCAGCTAAAATATCATTCTTATTTTTATGTATATTGTTAGTTTCTTCATGGACCAAGATAACTGTATGCTCTCCCTTAACTCCAAATTCTTTTCTAGCAACAAGATGTCCTTAACTCTAGGCAAGTAACACAATGTTTGGAACTCCTAGTTGTGACACTACAGAACAGTATCTATACTCCTGAATATATCATCTATTACCACATTACTTTCATTAGCTGCCTGACAGCCACTTGAATAATCTCACGAAACATGGTACTATGTTCAGATTGTGTATAGTTCTTGTTTGCATTCACATAAGCATCAAATAGTTTGTATCTGTTTGTTAAAGTCTTTGTGCAAAAAAAAAATCTGTTCAGCAGTGAGCCAGTGATTCAGCTTAAAAGTTACTAGCAGTCAAACTTAAATCGATCTCTAACTTTTCCACGGTATCCACTAAGCTCAAGCAAATTAAATTGCTCTGAATATTTTAACTTTAAGTGGATTTTTTGAAGGGTTCCAGATGCAGGGCAAACTCACTGAATCAGATGCAACAGGGATTCTGCATGATCCCAAAGCTCAACTCCAGGCTATATTACTCCAATTAGTAACTGTCCATCAGAATACTTGGGCAAATATAACCAGCGATACTCACCTGGAGAGTCTAGCCTCCAGACATAGTTATGGTTGAAGAACCTGCTAACTGCTACAAGTATTAATTGCAGTTGATTATACGGAGCCTGTACTGATTTAGCTTTGTACTCCACCTGCCAATTTAGCTCCTAGTAAATGAATACACACTGCCAAAATATTAATGTTGAAAATACGCCTGTATGATACTGCAATGAAGTTAAAATTATTTAACCAATGTAAATCACATGTTTCCAAATCAATAACTATACTGGCATACTGGAATTCAGAAATTGCTGAAAATTGCACAGAATATGCAAACCGCATTTTTCCTGTGAATCAATACTTCAGGAGAAAAGCTTTTTTTCTCACATCCCACTACAGGCCCGCCCCAAATTATCCTTTTCACTTCCTTTTGTACAATACGCTAAAGATCCCTACTATCTTGATCATGAATCATAATCCAAAATCACCTATGGAAAATATTGAAATAGGATTAAGGAGAGAACATTCCCATCCTCCTTTACTGGGTGCATCTAACGTGCAAACTTGTTTTGGAACCATATACAGATTTATCAATGACCCGGCAGGATCAAAAAGTAATAGCGTCCCCACTGATCTCCAAGGAGCCTGCTGAGGTTAGGGAGACCGAAAAGCAGCAGGTGGAAGTGACTGGCATTTTCCTTGATTGTGTGGTCACACAGTTTATGATCAGACAAGCTCAGCAACTGCTGGTTGAGGTAGCAGTGCTGACAGAAAAGCATCCAGATTAATTATCTGAAAACTTTTCTTCCCCTAAGAGACTAGAAATATCCAAAGGAGATAAACAGAACTACCTTGGTAGCAGCCCAACAAGCTCACCATTTGCTAAAAATGCTAACTCAGATAGCACACGCTGAAGCTGAGGCAGAAGCAGTTCTTGAATGCTACTACCTTAAAAATGAGCTGATGTGCTTATGAGTAAATGGACTCACACAGTCACATACCTTTAAATGAGGTGTGCACAATGATACAACAGGTAGTGGTGCTGACAAGGTACCAGATAGGAATAATGAAGGCAGCTCATAAAGTTCCAATGACTGGGTACGTCGGTATATGCGAAAACCAAACTCGCATCAGCCAGCATTTTTACTGGCCACAGCTCTGCAAAGATGGAGTAAAGTTTTGCAGAATCTGTCATACCTCACCAGGTTGTGGGAAAGACCCACATGACCTGCAACAAAACCTGCACTTATGATTCCTGTGTGGGCTTTTGTAGAACCATTCAGAAATTATTATTCAACTCTATGGAATCCTTGCCCAAAACAAAAGCAGGCTACCAGTATGTACATTCTTTACATAATGAATGTGCCTACACATTTCCCAGAGGCTGTTCCCCTGAAATTCACATCTGCCAAAACAGTGGTGAGAGAATTTATCTAACTTTTTACCCAGCATAGTCTGTGTCAGAATAGGGCTAAAATTCTTTTTTATCATTCAAATATTCCAGGAAGTCATGGCTATCCTGCGTACAATCAAGAAGTCTTCTGCATGTTCCCTGTAATCACTTGGAATGCTAGAATGGTATCTAACACAATGATCAGGGCATACTGAATAATGCCTTGACTGGGATAAAGGACTAGATCTTTTTTCTGTTCACCACAGGAACTCACCCAATCAATCCACTAGTTTTACTCCATTTGAATTTTGTCACAAGCACCAAGTGCGAGGGTCTGTGGAACAAATCAAAGAGTGTTCTTTTCAGAACAGAAGGAAGAAGTCTCCATGTTCGTCTTTGTTACAGAGCTCCTACAGGAACTATCATCAGCCTGGGAAGCCGCCCGAGAACATTTGAGAGTATTTCAAACTGTGATGAAACAAAAGACAAACCAAGCTACCAACATCCAAACCTTTCAGCCAGGAGATGATATGTTAGTTGCCCAATCAATTTCACGTGAACAATTAAAGGCACCGTATGGTGGCCCCGACAAAGTAGCAAAGAAGATCAGAGAAATAAATTATCTGATTGTGATCCCAGAAAGGAAAAACAAGGCTGTGTCATGCAACGTGATATGGCAGTACCATAGCCAAGAAGGGGACAAACAGATCTGTTGCATTGCCAGCAACATAGTGGATATGAATAGTAATGGGGATGAATTGGAGAGACATAATGGGGGGGCACTTTGAACTCTTATTATACAACTAATCAATTCAGAAGTACCGGTAAACTTGGACTTCATATTTGCTCACCTAGGTGCAGAACAACAGCAGACCTATCAAGCCTACTCTATGACTTTTAGGGTGTATGCAAAGCGAGGCTGCACCAACATAATGTGGACATCAGAGAGGTCCCTCTCATCAGGCAACATCCCTATCAGCTAGTCTAGAAAAGTGGGCCCAGGTTCGAAAGGTGATTAACTACACTTTAGAGCACCAATTGATACAGTCTTGTAGCAGTAGCTGGTACTCCTCTGTGGTATTTGTGGTCAAGCCAGATGGCTGCACAAGGCGCTGCATCAACTACTGAAATGTTGATGCAGTGGCCACAGCAGACTCTTATCGGGTAGTTCAGTTGGAAAATTTCATAGATAGTGACAGTAAAGCAGACTACATTATGAAGATGTTTTACTTCAGGATTACTGGCAGGCTTCCATGACAGTCCATGTGAAGGAAATCTCTGCCTTTATAACTCCAAACTTATACCAGTGTTAGGTCATGCCATTTGGACTCTGAAATTCTCCAACCACCTTTAAGAAGCTGATAAACCAGGCTTATCTAAATATATTCTCTACCTAGTGCTATAACTGCAGCTGATATTTTTATTGGACAAATCAGATCAGAGACTGATATCTAGCTGGATGGATCATATTTTGTTTTTTCTTGCTTTTAACAAAAATTGTTTTTTAACTGAACCACAAGCACAGTATGTACATCTTTGGATTTAACAGAAGTTTATTATGCAAAATAGATGAAGGTAAAATAGTATAAACCAAGCTATGTACAGATAAAACATGTTTAAAGTTTGTTGTGGTTGGTTGGCTCGCCGAGCTGGTTCGTTGCTTTTCCGCAGATGTTTCATTACCCTGCTGAGTAACATCATCAGTGCAGCCTCCAAAGAAACGCCGTTGTGTTTTCCTGCCTGC